AATTCTATTGGTCATGTATAGAGGTCACTGACTACTGGGGAAACTATCATTGATGCGTTGATGATAGGTACTAGGTACATGTACGTGTAGTCCCAGCACACAATACAGGATTCCAGGTGCGAGTCAGAAGCGATGTTGGGGTTTATTTGATTCCAATAAAATAAAGTTACATTCATGACAGACAAAAGGTAAAGCTTTGAAATCAAGACTTTGTTTTATTTTCTTTAATCACATCAGAAAAACAAGGAACGTGTACTTATTTTAACTTGCCTGCCGGACGACTGAAGGAAGTGTTTTGACTCGCCTGTGACTGTTTTCACTCGCATTATACTCTGAATCATTTGTTTTCCAGAACATGTACTGTAATTTTCAGAATAAAGGCCACATAGAGTGTAAGCCGCACAATGCAAAAAAGCTGCACCGCTGTGCTGACGATGTCCAACACGCAATCATTAAGCAGTGCGCAAACGAGAGTAGCTATATAACCCTAAACTTCTCTAAGTCCTTGAAATAACCATTTCTGGCAGGCTGCATAAGTGCCCTGGCTGGATGGGTCATGACACAGTTTTTCATGTTCTTTTGTTTTTTAACAGTCACCAATTGACTACTTGAATAACAAACAACATGAATTTCACAACGATAAAACAGACAAACATGCACCATTTGTGAGGTGTGAATGGTACTTATGGAACATTTGCAAACTGTCTTTTGAATCCATCTCCTACATGCATGACATGTGAGTAAAGCAAGGTAATAGCAACCAATTAAAACAGGACTGGCTTGTCCCTGGTGGAGCACCGCTCTGCTGCGCTTGCACATGGCTGGCTGACAGCCTGGGCAAGGCTTCAGTGAAGGGCTGCGCTGAGGCACTGCGCTTTGCCTAGTGACTAATTTTATTCATCCAGTGTTGACGCATAAGCTGCAGATACATTTTTCAGTGTGAGAATCAACATATAAGCCACGGCCTATATTCCAAAAATTATGGTACATGTTTTATGAATATTGCAGCTTAACTGTTAAAGCTGAAATATTTTCTAAGGGCCACAAACGTGGGGAAGAAATTGTCATATACATGTAAGTTTCAATTTGTGAAATGTTTTCCAAGGGCCAACAAACAGGGGAAGAAACTGTTGTTTCAATTTCTTCTTGCGAAACTTCAATGAAATTTGCTGAGCGCCTACAGTTATTAGAAAACTTTGCATACTCCATGTACGATGGGTATGCATACTTCATGACTACTCTATTTAGTTAGTGTTGTATTATATGTTTCAAAGGAATAATATTCCAATTCAAAACGAATATCTGTCCTCTGTATTTCACAGGTGACATACATGGCCAGTACTATGATCTTTTGCGACTCTTTGAGTACGGCGGGTTTCCACCTGAAGCCAACTACCTCTTTCTCGGAGATTATGTGGACCGTGGTAAACAATCCCTGGAGACCATCTGTTTGCTGCTAGCATACAAAATTAAATATCCAGAGAACTTCTTCCTGTTGCGAGGCAATCATGAATGTGCTAGCATTAACAGAATCTATGGTTTCTATGATGAATGTGAGTAAAATCTTTCTTAATTAGTGCTTACTGATTTGTATACCTGTTTATTTAATTCCTAGTCTGAGCTTTAGTGTCCCAGACCAAGTCCTAGTCGTCACATTTTAATTTTTCTCTCCTCAAGATTAGGCTCATACTTTGAACTGTTTTCCAGGTTCATCATGATGCTCTTAGTTACATTGCTTATGCTTCACCTGCCAAATCAAAGAGGTTTACTGTTTTTTTCTGTGTTACCTTCTGCAGGTAATTATGGTGCCTTGTGGGGTACCAGAACTATGGGAAGTACCCCACAAGGAACATGTACTTGTGGGGTACTAATACGGTACCCAACAATATTTCAAGAAAACTGATATATGGATTTTACTTAAAATTAAGGAACTTTCAAAGTGTATTTATCTGTTACAAATTGAAGTGTTACAAGCTAAAGAAAATGATTCAGAGCCAAATGGAAGCAATTTGAAAACCGTGCTTCACACACTTATTTTTTATTACACAAGAACAATGGAAATTTCCCACAAGGATTCAAAGGTAAGGGTTTGTGTGTGTTTGTGTGTGCATGCATGGAGGGAGGACACAGAAGTTAGAACTGCTTAGGCTATAACACCTGGCAAATTACTGCTTTCTGGCATGGCCGGGATGTCCATACATTGTAGCTAGAGCACTTGTTACGAACCGTCTGTTTCACAACCGTGAGACCCCTTTATACCCTATGATCGCCACTGCAATTTTTCGCTGGTAATGTGGATCCTTGAAACTTTGCGTACTGATGGATGGGAAATTGAATATTCATGTCTTCGTTGGAATGATCTCATAACATAAAATTTTATGCTTGCACAGTTGCCTGTGTTAGGCCGTGTGTGCTAAATGTTCATGTGCAGTTATTGCCCTTCCGGAACAATTTCTTCTGGAATTATTTTGGGAATAAAATAGCCAAGATATTTACAAGGTCTCCTGCATTCACATACCCCTGCCCAGCCTATATGGAAAATTCCCATGTGCCTATTATAATTTGCTGAAAAGACTTGATTATGCGTACTGCCTCTTGACCCTCCATAGTGCACTGCGGCTCCACCGTCATGTTCGTCCTTTTCTTAGCGCTTATTGTTTACGGACTTATCTTAATGGCATTTTCGGAGTTTCGAAACGAATAAAGAGTGATTTCTTATCTATCGGTAAGAGTGCTTATTTTCGTATTTGTATTTTTGTTGTTCTTTTCCGCCCCCTTTTTCTGTGCATCATTCACAGGTTGGGTGTGACCTACCGTTGTATTGTGCTGTGTATGGCCGTTGAACAGGGCTGAGGGGTAGCCCTTGGTTGTCAGTGTGGTGTGTGCGTTCGAACAATAACGGTTCACTGTGTTCTACTGTATGGGTCTGGCCGTGAAGCGGGGGCCTCACGGGCTGTCCCACTCCCCCGTGGTGAGGTTTGCATTGTTCAAGACTAACGGCCGTGTCAGGGAAAGACCCAGTGGAGTGGCTAGACCAGGGTTGAGTGTGCAGTGCCGCAACACTACCCCGGACCTTTATCTACATTGATCAGGTTGAGCGTACTTTGCCGCAACACCACCCTTGATCACTGAGGTCTTCTGCTTGGATTGATCAGGTTGGGCGTACTGTACCACAACACTACCCTTGATCTCTGACGACCACTCTGCATATTTACGGACCAGGGTGAGCGTGCTATGCTGCAACACTACCCTTGATCACAGTTGGCCAGAGCACAACGATCTGTTCGTCTTTCCCTATGCTGCAGGTGCCAAGTGTGGCTACCTACCACATACCCATGTGACCCTGCCCATGGATGGCCCAACGGGGCTTGCTGGGTGATGGTCGCCATCTGCCCTGGGTCTCTCACCAGCTTCGGCTCGCCGTGCTTCGTCCACCGGGAAGTCGGGGCAGGCAACCCCCTCAAGTGGGCAACAGGCTCCACATTGGGTTCACCACGCTCCACTGTGTCCACCACGGGCGAGTCTACGGCATAGCACGATGCCCAGCCTCATGTTAGGTCGGACGATGCTACCCCTTTTAGACTGCAGGGCTTTCGTCCGCTGCACCCCATCCGTAGCACTAGTATGACCTCCGGTCTACCAATGGACTCTGGCCATGAGGCCACCAATCGTGACCCGGGGTGCTAATCCCAGGATATGACCTACCATTCTGGGGATTCTCACCCGGTTGCAGCTTCAACCATCCCAGCCTTTGGCTCCTCTGCTCTGGTGAAGGCTGAGAAATGCAAGGCCAAGGCCGCTTCCTCGGTTTCTTCCTCGTCAAAGGCCAAGAAGAAGCACCGCTCCGATCCGGATCTGCTCCCGTGGATGGCTACTCTCTAGTCCCTCTCAGAGGCCTTCACGTCCCTCACCCAAAAGATAGATTCCAAGCGTCAGCCAGCGGCAACGGCACCCAATCCGGATTCCCTCCCAGCCATCTGTCCTCCCTCACAGCAGGCATTTTCAGAGGTTGAACTGGTCTCTGTTGTCCAACCAGACCTGTCCCCCTGCAGGATGTGGCTCTGAATCATGTCCCAGATTGTTGTGACTCTGTCCGTTCGGACCAAGGTTCAGATTTTCCCGCCTCAGGCCTTCAACTGCTCTCTTCCGAGGATGATGACATTGACTCTATTGCAGGCCTGATTCAACCCGAGGGCCATCTCCTCCTTCCTGAGGGCGTCATGGTCCACATTCTCGAGCTCCCGTCGCCAGATCCTGCGCCTGCAAAGCAAGGATGCACTTCCTTTCAGCATCACCCCTCCTACCTCAAGTCGGTTGAGCCTGTCTTCCCAGAGATCCCCCTGGATTGCTCCTGCGTGGAAATGATGAATGCTCTTGCAAAGTCTAACTGCTGGCATGCAAGCCCCTCACAGGGCTCTGTCTTACTACCACTTTCCCTGGAAGGATGTCCCTCACTTCCTGTCAATCCCAGACAACCCCGACGCCGCCAGGGACAAGATTTCGTCTGATTCCGACAAGCCTGCCACCTTCTGGGATAATGACAAGGTCAACTTTGACTCATTCCTCCGTCGCTTGGACTCTGCTTTTCACTTTGGCCTCCAATGCTCGGTCTTCCTCCTCTCTCTCGGCATATATTGCCTGGGCCTGTGAGGAGGACTCCCCTGTCTCACCTGACTTAGCGGCCCTTGCCCTGCGAAGGCTTGACGAGGTACATAACTCTGTCTTTGAGCAGTTCACCCTTATGCGGTGGACACCATGCACATTCCCTATGAGTCGGTCAAGAGCAAACTATTGGATCTACCGCTCCTCAGGGACGACTTCTTTGCCAGGAAATTCTCAAATGCCCTCGAGTCGGAGGTGAAGCATACAGAGACTGTCAAGAAAATTTTGTTCTTTGAACCCGCAGCTCCTCCTCTGTCCCCGTCTTCAGGCTGTTCCTTCAGTCAACTCAGTCCTCCGGCTCCCGTCGAGCTCCACCCGCGGCTGCTTCCAGAAGGTTTTAGCCATGAGCAGCTGGACGCAGCTCTACACTCTACGTTCCGCATCCCCTCGGGGTGGGGGGACTACTTGCCTTTGCCTGTGGCGGCCGCTGATCCTGAACCTGTCAGTGGCCGTCTGGTCAACTCCATCGGGTTCTGGTGGGAAATCACCGCGGACAGCTGGGTCCTTGCCCACCATTACACTTTCGAATTCATGAGCTCCCCACCACCCGGGATGGTTTTCCATTGTAGTCCCCCTCCATACGACAAGTCCAAGCGCCTGGCTCTGATGGAGGAAATTTCAAGTTTACTACGCAAACAAACCATCGTGCCAGGACATCCAAGTCAGTTGTCCACTGGCCTCTTCTCATCCTTCCTGACACCCAAGGAAGAACTGGAAAAATGGTGACCAATAATCAACCTGAAACCCTCAACAAATTCATCAGGCCGAAGCGGTTTCGGATGGAGACTCTGAACATAGTCTTGTGCTCCCTGCTTGTCCCGTGCTGGGCTGCCTCCATAGATCTGCGGGATGCATATCTTCCAATACACAAGCAGGACCACAAGTTCCTTTGCTTTGGATATTTCAGCCAAACCTATGAGTTCCAGGCTCTCCCCTGGGTCTCTCCACTTCACCAAGGGTCTTCACCCGGGTCACCAAGACACTCGCTACTCATCTGCGACAACGCAATGTCTTCATTTTTCAATACCTTGACGACTGGTTAATCATCGGCTGTTCTTCCGATGAGGCTAAGGCCTGCACTTCTCTCACCTTTGACATCACGAAACATCTGCTTGTGTGAGCTTGTTTCTGAATTTCATGTGTATGATTCACATTTGTCACAGATGTGGTGATAAAATTTGTCAAGTTCTTCAAGTGAAAGTAACGGTGGATACGATCCTTATGAAAGCAAGGGTGATGAGCGCATTGATGTCAAAGATGATGGCACAGGACTTGCTGTTGAGGTTTATGGCGGTGAGCCATATTGATATGAACAAGGTTCAATTTTTTCTTGCGGAAACCTGAAGAACACCATGTCTAGGTTTTGTGGGCATTTCTGTCACAACCACCAAGTATGCAAGACCTTGGCATGTTTTTTACCGGTACTTCATGAATAAAATGTAACAAATAGACCAATGAATTTAAAGAATCAAAAAATTAAGGAAAAGGACAGGGACATAATTTCTCAGCATGCCTTTGCCATGCCACATGTACCATATACAGCCTTTACTAGTTTACTACGTGTACATGTGTACAGGCACTGCACATAAATGCCATGTATGTTTACTCCTAGTATTTCCCAACTTTTCAAGGACTTGCATGTCATTAATACATGATGAGCACTTCTGAAATCATTGAAAAGACTTCCGGGGCAGCCCATTTTTTTATGTTTTCCTGCTATAAATGAGAAATCTGTGCCATTTTTTCATATTTATTTCATAAGCTGTTCTTGTCACCAGAAGTAAACAGATATAATTGGGGAAAGGAGGGTTCCTTTTAATGTCTCTGTAAAGTGTTCTCCATCAACCTCTTCCTTCGCCGCTGGGGGTGCCTCAACACAGAATGGGTACAATTTAATCTCTCTACCACTGTCTATGCTAAGTTGACCACTTTCAAAGACATGCATATAATACAGTTTCCCGCACATATCCAGTCCTTTTTCTGTGCTCTGTCATCAAAGGAAAATTGGCAATTTCCAAGGTACAGCACAGTGTTGTTAACTGACATGTTTCCAGTTGTGTGCACTTGTTTTTTCCCAGTAAGATTTCAGGCTGATACTGTACTTGTGTCTTAAGAATAATGCAACATTTCCTTTTTGACAGGCAAAAGGAGGTATAACATTAAGCTCTGGAAGACCTTCACAGATTGCTTTAACTGCTTACCTATAGCAGCCATCATTGATGAGAAGATATTCTGTTGTCATGGTGGTAAGTTCCATGTAGAATCCTCTAAAGTCTTCTGCTGCAATTCAGCATTCACATGTCAACATGCAAGATTTGGGTTCTGCTTGGACAGTTTTACTGAAACGGTTGGTCTAGGTTTAGCAGCATTTTAAAGAATCAAATACATGCTGATGAACAGTATTAAACTGGTCCGACTTGACTCTATTTCGAAGTGTTAACCTCTATGGGCTTTTGAACTGCGTACTGTGCATACAGTACATACTGCTTTGTGCTATGCTACTGGGGTAGCTGTCAGCTGCTGATGAAAATAAGGATTTTGATTTCAAAAGCTTAGATATGTTACACCAATATGATAGTTTCAAACTAAATGACCAAATGCTCACTTTCGTCTGTTGTATTTTCACATCTCTTACAGTTTTTCAACTGAATCCATGAAGATTCTGCATAATTCAATGGTCCATTAGTGATGATGGTCAAACAATATTTAGCTGAATAGGAAATTTCAGAGAATCAGGATACACACCATGTGTATTTCTTTACCAACCCACCCAGGAAACAAAAGAGTGCATTTTACTAACCTGCATCAGTTATTTCAAACAAAGAGTGAAAGGCGAGTGCTGAGGTTGAGGCTGAGAGTACTCGCAAGGCATTTTGACAGGGACTCCCGACTTATAGTTTTTGCAGGGATTTTGGCTTTTTAAGATTTTGGGAAAACCTCTGGCCTTCGGCATTTGTGGGCGGAAACAACAACATCTTTAACACAAGTATATACCTACATGTAAAATGTTTCAAAAATACAACACTTTCCAATCTTGACTGTGCTGTAATTTGCATGAAACAATGATTTAGGGCACTATAAAAGCAGTGTACTTATATATAATACACAAGCATGTAAAATCCATTCTGTGAGGAGTTGACTTTGTTCATGCAACTTGTGTTCAGTTTAGATAGCCAAAGTAAGGAACCAATATTCTTGTGCATCAAAACTTGGGGAATATATATCCTTCCCCATCCCCTGGGATCTGTGACCGTGCGTGATGGTACATGTATAACAATGCGCAGCATTGTCTCTTGTGTCACAGTTGGACATTGCATTATGTTTGGACTTCTAAATGTAAGCCTTTGCTACAGTAAACAGTAGCCATCGCCAGCCTAGCCACACAAAAAAACAACCAAGTGGTCAGAGTTTTGCAAGCAAAATTAAAGCCAAAGTCTTTCAACAGTTCGATTTAGTTATTGGGTGGATTATGAAACCTCCAACTCCATGTAATACTGTTTTAGAAAAGTAATTAAATAGTTGACATTTATGCCAAATTTTTTTTAAAGTGTTTTTTAAAAAAAGGACTAAATTGAAATCTTTTTTCCTCCAACCCTAAGAAAGTTAGTTAAATTTTTTTTAAAGTATTTTCTATCTTCCCTTCCCGCTAAATTGCATGTGATGATGTTCATAATCCAATAAACTAACAAATTGCTAGCCTCAGAAAAAGGGGGGCAGGATATTTAGGTGTTTTTAGCCATTGGTGTTCATGTTGTGCAGGCGTTTTATCCAGTGCACATGTATTTTACCTGTATTTTACCTAGTCCTTTATGCCAACTTAACCAATTTTTTGCTGACCCAAGATGCAAATTGCTAAGTACAACTTTCCAGCCCTGGTTTGAAAACCCACTGACAGATGGAATTGGTACATTCTACTTTGCTTTTTCTGGAATAAACAAGTTGTGCTCAATCCTGTTATTGCTATTTTTTAATCAAACATAGGCTTGTCACCAGACCTACAGGCAATGGAACAAATACGACGCATCATGCGACCAACAGATGTCCCAGATCAGGGCCTTCTGTGTGATCTACTTTGGTCAGATCCTGATAAAGAGACAAGTGGCTGGGGAGAAAATGACCGGGGAGTGTCTTTCACATTTGGGCCTGAAATAGTCTCAAAATTCCTCAGTAGACATGATCTGGATCTCATTTGCCGAGCACATCAAGTAAGTTGCCAATCAATTTTTTATTTGTTAAGTTTTCCACTATGCAAACAGCAATGAAGTACTTGAAACTATAGAGATAAAACTGCAGTTGACTCTCATTATTACAAACTCAGCTACAGCAAAATTGTGGTTATAACAAACACGTCTCCGGTCTTAGCGAAAAGATGCACATTCCCACAGGGAGAAAATCTGTTACAGTGAAATTGCATCGTGCAAATTCCAATGAAATGTTTTTATGACTGTTGCTTAAAAGGATTCCTTTTCAACCCTTTATAATAAGAGTTTACACATCCTGGATCATGTAATTGCAGTTGTTTAATCTTGGCCTGATGTAGAATCTCTTCGTTTGAAGGTGCTTATTGTTGGATTGTGCATGGTTGGAACAGTCCACTCTGGTTACCAACTATAGCCAGTCATCAAATGCACTGCGTTAGTGATGCATTTCACCAGTCTTCCATACCACATTTATATTGCCACAGTGCAATTATACAAAAGAAACAATGATTGATTTACAAGGGCTTTTACCAGTTTTAAGCTTTTGAAAATATTAGGCCATTAACCCAAAACCCCCAATAAATAACTGAATCCTTTGCCCTTTCACCCATTCAGATAACTTTACAAAGAAGAACAAAGAAAAATTGTTATATATGCCCAAACCATAATCCTGTTCCGTAAAAAATTAAATATACAATGAAATGAAACAGGTGCTAAATTATCTTTGATATTCTTGTCAACTGAAAAAATACATTCATCCCCTCTTCTAGCTCTGAAAAATGATTTAAACCATAACTAAACACAATCCATGTATATATAGGATTTGCAAGATCTCAAAAATGGGACTGTCAAATTACCTGGAAATATTTTACTGTAAAGTAAGTACATAATAATGTCAGACAATATGAAATCTTACCGCCAGGAATGCTGTCATTTTCGAGAAAAGAGAAATTTTAATTTCTTAATTTTTTAAATTTTAATTCTTTAACTTGACCTTTACAAAGTGCATATGCACAAAGACATAAAAGGGAACTAACTGCAGCAATCGAGCGTTTTTGAAACGAGCTGATTAGGCTAAGACTTTGGCTTTGCTGGTTCCAGCTATTTTGGAGCATGGTTCAAAACCATGTTCAAGCTGTGACTGGAACCAGCAAAACTGGAGTCTAAGCCGAATTCACTCGTTTGGCTTGAATTTACGCACGAGGGGCCAGTTTCCATACAATTGTGACACTGGCCATGGGTACATCGTAAGCAAATTGCTGATGTGAAGTGAAGTAAAAAAGTTCAGGTACTCTTCATGACAAAAGTAGAAACAAATGGTAAAAATGTTCAGGTACACGGAATCAAACGGGCGTAAGTACTTGCGCCTGTCATTATGATTTACGGGCGCATTTCTGAGACAAAAGGGTGCGTTTTAGCTACCTGCGCTCGTCAATTTCAAGCCCCGAGACACTGTCATCTTCTTGCCTGAGAAATTTGATTGATTTAAGCTGCATATGCTGGTGAACTCACGCTTTTTCACCTAAAAATAATTATTGTAGTGGCCTAAAACCCCACTGCACATGCTTTTTAGTGGTTTATATTAAATGTGGACGACGTTTCAACAATCTGTTTCTATTTGTTCACACATCCTCACTTTTGTGGAAGTTTGTAACACATATTGCAGCAATGCGCATGCTGCTTGACACCCTGGGAACAAACTGCACTTGTATACGATCTGGTCGCCGGCTTTTTACAACGGCTACTGTACAAGAACCTGTAAGAAGAGTCCCGTTTTCAGATGTGATCTCATTCATTATCAGTGGCAAGTGTTACATGGGCACAAGTGAAATTGTCAGTCGAGGGGGTTGTGGGTTGAGGGGGTGGAGGGGTTCTAGAACAACCATTAACTGGCACCATTACCTCGGGGAAATACACATTTCATTACATGACAGTCGGTTGGCTGTCAGTTTTTGGTTAAAAGAAAGCTCCTCCCAGAATTTCTTTGAAAATGTGTCATCATCAATGTTGTTGATCTTTTATGTCCAAATTAAAAGTTTACATTTTGAAAATAGTTTGTAGTACATGTATCTCCTGCTCACAGGGTACTGATCACATTTCATTGGAATTTGGGGACTATTTGAGCTAAAGGAATACTGAATAATTTTCTCATGTAGATCTAGGAATATGACTGAACTCGTACCATGAAATTTAATCTGAAATTTCGATCCGCGAAAACTTCAAAGTCACAGTTAACATTTTTCCCACCATCCCCTGCTTGGAACTCGCTGCCACGGGACTCGCTTTGTGGCCAAAATTGACTATGGACATCAGCGTGCCGTGGTAAGCCTTGTGTGTGGGAGGAATTTCTCTCTTCATCATGTTCATGCTGCTCGTTAACATAACAATCGGGAACACACAATCGGATCGTAAATGAGCTGAAGACTGGTCTTGGCACTGCACGGTACTGCTAATGGAGGAGGGGACAGGTGATGGAAATGGACCTTGCAGCCTGGGTGGGCATCAAGTGCACCGCCTTCATCCTTTTCAACACCGTTCCCATGCTTGCGAGGAGGGTTCAGACATCTTCCCTCACTTCACTATTATAGCCTTAACAAATCTTTGATTGTGAGCTTCAAGCAATTTACTTGTTTTTCTGCTCACTGCCTCAACTGCCAGTAGAGCCAGTGTTACCAACACTGAATAGCATGTGATAAAATCAACACAAGATAGAACTCCCCATGTTCGGTAAAGATGTCTTTGCTGGGCAGTTCCTTGAACTTTTAGAATCTGAAGCCAAATCGATTGCCACAACCTAGAAAATTTCCTTCTGTCAACTGCCCAAGCCCGACCCTGAGCTAAGGCACATCGTCAGACCAGAGCTGAGATGGCCTAAATGTATGTAAACCTCCTCCATCCGACAACATTGGCAGGTTTCTTGTCAGTCTTTCAGAGAACCTCTGGCCAGCTCTTGGCAGGCTCAACCACATCCACCCCACTCTTCCTCTGGCCCTAATCAGCCCCAACGGGGCATTACCCAACAGAACCCACCCTGCCTTCCAGGCATGCAACTTTTCCTGGGTTCAGCCGATTTCCTCATTTTTCTCTTCACTCTCATGCCATTGAAAATGAAAAGCATTTTACTAAGTCTTGGATTGGATCTTCGCTTTTTGTTAAAGTCCAAGTTGCATGCCTGGTCTTAGTGGAGTGGCACAGATGACTATTCAAGCTCATACGTGCCTCCAATTTTAAGCCTGTCGTTGGCCACCTTCAAAGTTTCGTTTGGCTCTGGAGAGACATAACTTCAGACGGAGGCGTGCTTGCCACACTCGCTCAAGGCTACAGACTGGAATTCACAAGTTCTCCTTAGTCCAGTGAGCTACTCAGACAGACTCCTGTCCCGTCCTTCCGCATCACACAACGGACCCTGGAGTCAGAGAAAGAGGACCTGTTGCAAAAGAAAGGCATCCTTCTGGTCCCACATCATTGCAGGGGTGTGGGGTTCATGTCCACTTTCTTCCTCACCCCAAAGAAAGAACCAGGGAAAGGAGGCCCAATCGACAATCCCAAGCCTCTGAACAAATGTATTTGGCTGAAGAGATTCTGCATGGAGACACTTCATACCTTAAGGTAGTCTCTTTCTATTCCCACATGGGCATCCTCTATTGACTTGAAGGACACTTACCTCCATATACTTATCCACTGGGACAATTGTGAGGTCCTGCGTTTCATGAACAAAATACCACCCTACCTTTCAGTCTTACCACTTTGCTAAGAGTGTTTACCTGGGAGCCTTTCTCTGCCGTTACGACATCCTAATCTTCCGATATCTCGATGATTGGTTAATTGTCCACCATTCCAAAGATGAGACTACTATTACCACCAAGGCCACCTATGACCTTATGTCTTGCCTGGGGTTTCTGATCAACCACAACAAATTGAGACCTTCCTTCCCAAGAGCCAACTTACCTCGGAGCAGTTTGGTTTTTTGCAATGTTACCACGATGCCTACAGAAGATCAGGTCACCAACTTTCTTCAGTGTGTCGATGTGTTAACAAATCAATATGGCTCCACCTTCTGGGACTAATGGCCAGCCTTACAGACCTTGTCCCCTCGTGTAGCTTTTGAATGAGCCCCTCCAGCACCCGCCACACTTCAGACCCAGCAGGATCTGATCAATCTGGGAATCCCAATTTGCCTCTGGTTCATCAACATCTTAAATAGTGGCGAGCGAGATACAACCTCCCCAGGGGCCTTCTTTTACCGAACTGAGTCATAAAGCAGTGCTTCAAACCTCAGTTGTGAAGCCTCACTGCCCCCTCTTCAAACATTGGGCACATAAGGCCCATATCTACAAGGATTTCACATCAACGTACTGGAACTCCAGGTGATATTTGAAGTGCTCATCCACTTTCAACCCTCCATACATGGCAAAAGAGTACACCTGACCTGCTGGACATTGTCCAACAATCATTTTGAGGAGCAGGCCTTTCTCAAGAAGCTGTCACCATAACCGCTATGGGCCAATGACTGTTGACACAGAAAATCTATGACAACCAACCATGGCATTTCAATTCCTGGTGCAGAGAGCAGGCTGTGGATCAAACTGAAGCACCTCTACCAGTCAGAGCTGACTTATGCACCTCTTTAACTATGGTCTGCTAGTGGTGACAATCCAAAACTACCCCTCAGCCATTGCGGCGATTCAGTGCTTCCCTAAAGGGTCGACCTTTTCAGGCAACTCGACTCTGGGACACCTACTCAGAGGAATGTTTATTCTTAGGAGAAAGAGTCGGGGTGTGCATTTACGGGTATTTTTGGAACCGGGTGCCCGTTTTATTTCATTACCAGGTACCCGGGTACCCTTAAAATATAAAGATCACTTAACAAATGGCATTGCGTGTGCTGCGTGCCATCCCGCCAGACCATGTGCCAGAAACAAGGCTCTTTTTGTACATAGGAAGCAGCACATCGTTTTAAACGTTGGAGGTGAATCTCCCCACATTTTTATTAAACGAATTGTTAC